TTATTAAACTAGAGATATACTACAGCTATGCAAGTGTTTTTCTGCCTTGAGTTGTAAATAAATTAGATTTAATCTAATAAAAACTAAGTTCTGATCAATAAGTTTAGGCAAAAGTCTGCTGCAAAACAACTGCAAAAAACCAAAACAACTTCCCCAAACTTATCAACTGGTTTTCCTCTTTGTTTCAAAAAGTACCACTTTCCTTTGCTTTTCAATGGAGGTAATGAAAGATCCACTTATTTATCATTTTGGTGGTGCACCCCATCCAAAAATTATAAAATATTGAATGAAAATGCTTTAACATTCAGTTGATAGATGCATGTATATAACTTACTAGTCTGTGAAGATTATTCATAACCTCCTATTCCCTTATTCGGCTTCAAATGGAAATATTTGCTTTTGCTTTGGTCCTTTTCTTTTTTTTTTTTTTTTTAGTAAAAAGTAATCTACTGCATTCTCTATTAATCAAACAGTATTACCTGTTTCCTAGTAATGCATGTGTTACCAGTATTTTAAAGAGGGAATTAAAAACTGAATGTAACTGAGGTTCCTTAGTAACTCTGGGTTTTTTTAACTACAGTCTATCAAAAGATTTTCTAGAAAAAGAGAATGAAAGGAAATAAATACAGGAAAAAATAAAGCTCAGATTATCAGATTTTAAAAACAAAAAGAAGTAATACCATCACATAGCAAGGGACAAGAACATCTCTTAAACTGCATTTGTGAAGAAAAATCCCTTTGGTAATCCCTAGTATGAAAATTCACTTGACATATTATTAGCAATGGAAGTAACCTCAGAGTTAACACCTGTCCCATACTGGGTTGGGCAAAATTCAGCACGCCATAAATCTACCGTAGTCCCTACCAACAGGAAAGTTCAAGTGCTACTGTTCAGCCTGTAAAATGCAATTGCACTTTATTAGTGGAACAGTGATTCTTAGAGTCACTAATGAATCTATTAATCTTTTTTTTTTTTTTTTAAAGACATGAAAGAAGTGCTATTATACAAAATATTTCCAACTACTTTTAAAAACCTTGAGAAAATACAAAATTTCTTTTAGGTCAGAAAGGAAGTTTAAAAGAAAGATTTGAAGAAAAAAAGAAGCCGATAATCTATTTTTCAAAGAATATAGTAAGTTTTGATCATGCAACTTGAAATTTTAATGTTCTATTGTGTGAACAAATTCTCCATCCACTTCCCATTTTATTTAAAAAGCATCTGACATGGTCCCTGAATTGTGAATGGGAGTGATGCTAAATGATGAAACTGGAAATACAATGTGACACCAGCCATTTCCATTGTGTAATAGATGAAAAGCTCTAAAAATTTAACTCCAAGCAGCCAACCATAGGATTAATAAATATTCAGTTCTTAAAAATTAAAAAAAAAACCAACCCAGATCTACACAACCAGAATAAAAAAATTACAAACAGAAGGGTGATTGCAATAGCCCATATTAAAGTCAAGTCACTCTATCAATAGTGAGTCAGAACTGATTATATCTGACTTCAGTTTTTAAATGTGAAGATAAAAATCTTTTAAGTGTCCATTTCTGTTTGACGTTCAAGAGATGTTAAACTAAAGAAAATCTACAGTGAATATCACAAGAAAAGGATCCAAGGGAAAGGTTTGACCTCTCTTCATTCTGATTTAAGTTTGATGATGCACTATACATGATGAGGGTACCACTACCTCACAACCCATCAGCAGGTAATTCATAAGGAGGTCAAAGAAAGGAAAAGGCCATAGAATCATGCATAATTTAGCAATTTCATCAATAAACAATTCTTCAGATAATAAAAGACAGCCCTGAAAGAGGCATGTGGAGAAGGAGAAAGGGAACAAAAATACCACCAACACCATCTTGCAAGCAAACTTCAACTTTGGGTGCATACAGGAAACTAGGTAAATAATTCCCCAATTTGCATCAACAACCATAATAATAATGCATGGAAATACAGACACACCTATATTTATACTTTGTACATTACACTTGATCCAGTTGGGTAGGTGATACTGCAAAAATAAGGGAAATAAATAAGAAAGAAAGAACAAGAGGGGAAAAGCAGTAAATAATTATTCAATCACCTTGGACTTCACAACTTAGCTTTAGTAACATGACAATCAACATCAAAGGCACAAAAGCAAAACCTCTGAAGAGTAAAACTCTTTACAAAAACATGTACCTACAATGGTCTAATCAGACCTGACATAGTTATTCTGATGCTTGAATTCTGTAATAGTCATGAAGAATTTCTCCCTATTGTGTGTTGCAGTCTACCAGATTTATTTTTTTTTATTGTGGAGTGGTAAAACTAATACTTCTAGAAGCTATTGCTAGCAATTCATATTTCAAATTACTGGAGAACAGAAGAAATTGGTTTTTGATCATCTCATGGTCACATATTTTAATTTTAAGAAAAACTGTCATTCCAAATAGATTTCTAGTAAGTAATGCTATAATGTATAACACTAGAAAGAATATTAATATGCAACTTCCTACAATGTCTAGAAGTACTTTATTGTTTATATCTATAAAAATTAATTTTTAAATGAGACACTAATCATGAATAAACAGAAATTAAATACTGAATTTTTTTAACTCGTTTTAACTTTTATACATGTTAACTATGATGCATGTATTCCAGTCAACCTTATCACCACAGATCTTGCAAGCGCAAAGTCTCATCGTGTTAGATATTAAAAACAAGACAAGACAATAGTCAGAGAGAGTAGGGATGGAGTCAAATGCTTTGAGTTATCTGCTCTTAGCTGTGATACTCTGAATTTCCTTTCCACAGTACTTTTTTCTTTCAACCAAAATATTACAAGGTGACAAGCATAGGAATTTTTACAATGTAATGTGATATTACAAATGCAAAAATTTAGATACCAGAACAAAGCTAGAATTCCAGTCACTATCACATTGGCTAAACATACACTGCATAGATATGCAAGAACAGATATTTTTAC